CGCCCAGCCAGCCGCAGAAACTCACCCTTCCCTGCCGCACTGGGCTCCCCTGCTGGCCTGGGGCCAAGCTCTGTTCTAGTGGGCCAGTAAGCTGTGCTCCAGCACGCTGGAGTCTCCCCTGCCCAGTGAAGAGCCTGACTCCAGGCAAACACCTGCGAGCAGAGGGTGGGAGGAGGGCGGGGCCCACTTAGCACACCCGAGCCTTTAGCCTGAGGAGAGAGCAGGCCAGCCAAAGGCCTCCTGGCATCTTCGGGTCCCTCCTGCCTCTAGGCTGGACCAGACCCGCTCCACCTCCTGCAGGATGAAGCGAGAACAGAGACTGCTGGGAGCTAAGACTGAGTGCCCTCTTGGGCAACGGGGAGGGATCTCTGCCTTCGCAAAAGGACCTCTGTATCACCATGAACAGGGCCTGGGGTGGGAGGAGTGGTTTCTGGAGAGGCCCTGTCCCATCCCCTCTCATCTCCGAGGGCCAACCACTTGCCCAGGACACAGGGTGAGTATGGGGGGGCATGGCCTACCTTGTGCCTCACTGACACGGACAGCACAGCTCGGAGCGGCCAGCACCCGACAGGCGCCTGAATCCACTCTATGAGGATGGCCCGATCACTGTCCCCGTTTCCGGGGGAGAGGAGAGAGGGCTAGGGACTTCTCATGGTCACGCAGCTAGCGGGGAGGGGCAGGATCTAACCAAGAAGTCAGAGTCCATGCTCACGTTCACTATTTCAATAATGACAGGAAATGCACTGGCCAAGAAGCCCTCGGAATGACGTCACCGCATTCCCACACGCGCCTAAGGTGGTCGCTAGGATCTCAGCCCTGCAGGCGGGGAAGGCACAGCTGTGGAGGATGGGATGCTTGCCTGAGGGAGCCAGGTCGGCTGCCTTTGGGTCACCCTCTGCTGAGACTTCCCTGGACAGCGCACTTCAGCTGCTTTCTAGGAGGGACACAGCTGGGAGTGGGGAGTGGGGGGGGGACGCTGAAGGGCAAACATTCAAATGAGATGCAAAGAGACAATGGTGAGGCCCCCCAGGCTGGGGTGGAGGTTAGGGCCACTTGGTTAGTTCGTCTGTCTCTAACCAGCACACAACAGCTAGTGGGCGTCCCCCTCTGGAGGGGAGATAGGCCTAGTGTTCCTCCCCTCTTCCTAGGAATGACAGGGCAGGGTGCCCCCTGCTGCCACCCTGCCTGTCCCAAAGCCCTCAGTCAGCTGGCCCCGCGCCCATGCAGCAGGGAGGCCATGCCCAGCTGTGAGTCTGGAGCCTACATAGCATCAGGAGCTGGCTGCCAGGGCTAAAGTGCCTGCCGAAGGAGGGGCCAGTTAAACATAAGCCCTGATGGCCCCCCACGGAGTGAGCCACCTCCCCACACAAGGCTGTGGGCTGGGCAGAAAGGGGCAGTTTCGTTCCAGGTGGGTGGCCAAGCTGCTGAGGCCTGGGACAGGTCCTTGTGTTAGTACTAGCGCAGACAGAAGCCTCTTCTGACCCCCCAGGCTCACTCTCTCCTCAGAGGTCTCCATTGCTGGCAGGCCCGCAGGTCCTGCACTGGAAGTGTGCTCTTACTCCCAAGACTCGCTCCTAGGCCGGCCTGTAGGTCCCTCGAGGCCAAGGCCAAGCAAGGAGAGCCTCGATAACCCCGGAGTGCTGGCTCTGAGCACTGAAGGCCTGTTGAGGAGCGATTTGCACAAGGTCACAGACTTAACCAGGACTGGGACAGAGGGCCTTGGACTCCTGGTCTGTGGAGAAAACCAGGTGGGAAGGGCTTTGGTCTCCTAGCCCAAGGCAGAGGCCTGGGGACCTAAGTAAGTGCCCATCTGTGGCCCCGACTCAGCACACCAACTGGCTCCAGTGTCAACAACTCTCTCCCTGGTCAGTGCAGGCCTGGGGAAGTGATCCATTGCCCTGGGTTCAGGCAGGAGGCGTGGTCTCACCTGGTGCCAGGGCAGGTGTTCCAACATAGGGGCCCTGGGGGAGGAGCCTGTGTGAGCACCATGGCTATTCATCTGCAGGGGTGAGCCTGGTGGGCATGCAGTCCACAGGCTGGTGGGCACCTGGGTGTCCCCCAGCTAGGGCCTCCCAAGTGCTTTCCTCTTTTGATTTTTTAAGGAATTATTATTATTTAAAAATTTTCGCTATAGGGCATGTGCACGTACATGAGAGGGAGAGAAGGCAAGCCACCAGGTCTGGGACTCGAACTACAGTCAGTCATGTGGGAGTCCAGTGCCTTAACTACCATGCCACCTGCTGCCCACCCATGTGCTTTTCTTCTAAAGGGTTCTTAGTGACCTAAGTTTCAACTGCCCCACCCTGCGATGAGGAAACCAGGGCCACAAATGTAGTGAGCTTTTCCTAAAGCCAAAGGCACTCCGTGGAAAGGGCTCTCCTTTGTCCTGCAAGCCTGCCTGGCTTCATTTTATTATCGTGGCATTAAATCACCCTTTACCTATGGAGTGGGAGGGTAGAAGGTGGTGCCTGGTTTTGAATGTTCTTAATTCACAAAATAAAATGGTGGCCACACCCTTTCAGCACTCATATAAAATATTAGTTTGTAAAAAGCCATCAGGGAGCCTCTTCCTAGGAGGCTGAGTGTGGGTCTCCCCCCACAAGTACCACAGTTGTGACAGTTCCCCAGTCAAGATACATGAGTGGGAATGGAACTGAAGTGTCAGGGTGTGACTGTTGAGTCAGCTGGTCTGGGGCTGGATACCCTCCTGGGTCCCCACTTGGACCTCTTTGGAAAAGGAGAAGCTGCTGGTGTCTGAGAGATTCCAGTTTCTGAATGCCTGTTCTTGTTCTTGGGGGTTGCAGAATCTTCCCCCACTGCTGGCTAGGAAACCTCACCCTTGCCCCTGCCCAGGGAATGCCCAGCTGTGGTAAGTCTTGTCTTGGTGGATTCCCCTGGAAGAGACCAGCACAAGCCACGCGCTTTAATTATGCACAGGGCCGGCAGGTGGCGTGGAGGTTAAGGTGGCTGGATCCCACATGACTGACTTTGCAGTTGTAGTCTTGAACCTAGCAGCCAGAAAAACATGCCAGGCGTGCGTGTATGCGTGTGTGCGTGCCCAAAATCCTGAGAGGAGAATGGACGTCTCTCTCTAGGAGAGCACATATGCACTCCAGCGAAAACTTAAGAAAAAAAAAAAGATCGGGACCAGCAGATGTTGTAATGGTTATGTTGCTGGACTCCCATGTAGTAGACCTCGGTTCTAGTCCCAGACGCGGCAGCTTAAAACTCAGGCGTGTGCATGAGTGCCCAAACTCCTGAGAGAGGAAACTGGAGAAGGGATTGTGGCGTGGCCATCCCTGCTGGGGAGTGATTTCTTGTTTTCTGTCTCTCTGTCTCTTCAGTGAGTGCATATTTCCCATAACAAAAATCTCTTAAAAAAAAAATGATAACATTTGCCAACCACTCACTTTAAGAGTAGAACATTGGGGACCAGCAGATGGTGTAATGGTTACGTTGCTGGACTTTCATGTAGCTGACCACAGTTCAAGTCCCAGACCTGGTGGCTTAAAATTCACACTGGCCATGGGTGTGTGCATGCCCAAGACCCTGAGAGGAGAATGGAGGAGAGATTGTGGTGTGAGGGGTAATTTCTCACTTTGTTTCTCTGTCTCTCTGGTGAGTCCATGTGCCCTATCACTCTCTCTCAAAAAACAAACAAACAAACAAAACGAAGAATAGGACAAGAAGCCCTTGTGTACAGCCCCTTCCCAGCATAACCCCTTACCCCTGACAAACATGATCCTTAGTTTTGTGTTTGTAATTCTCTTGGTTTTTCTTAAGTTCATTACACACACACACACACACACACACACAATGAACTTAAGAAAAACCAAGAGAATGTATGTATACACACACACACATATATTTTATATATTTTAATTTAGTATAGGGCACATGCACTCATCAGAGAGACAGAGAGAGAGAGAGAGAGAGAGAGAGAGAGAGAGAGAGAGAGAGAGAAAGAGAAAGTGAGAAAGCAAGCTGCCGGGTCCGGAACTCAAACTGTGACTGGCCATGTGGGAGTCCACCTTAGCCACCATGCCACCTGCTGACCCCATCTCTGGGTTCTCTTTACGGCATCACTACATATTTATGAACCCCTCAACAATACACTGCTTAGTTTTGCATCTTTTTGTAAACCTTACATAAATGCATGTATTTTGCTTTTTCCCCTTTGACGTAAGGTTGTTCATTTGGCCCCGCTGATGACTGTAGGTCACTCCTTTTCAAGGCTGTAAAATGACAAAAGCATCGCCCTTCATTCACTTTCCTGTTGATGGAGGTTTGGGGGTTTCAGCTGTCCGCTGCTGCCAACGACGCAACTTGGAATACTCATGAGCCTCTCTTTCGATGCTCAGGTTCAAGAGTTTCTCTACCCAGGTGTGCACTTGGGAGGACAAGGACATCCGCACCTCTGTTGGGTGGCACCACTGACACCCCTACCGGCACCTGGGAGAGTTGCTGATTCTCCAGTGGCTTTGCAGGTCCTGGAGGTCGAGAGCTTTGGGATGCGTAGAATCTCCCTGACCTCAGCTTCTCCCAACCCAGCTCCCAATGTTACTCGGCCGCAGTTCTTTGGCTGTTTCGGGTTTTCCAGCTGCTTGTCCTAGGTCAGGTTAGTGCAATGCCCCAAACCTTTAACAGCAACCATAGCATGCACAGCGTCGAAAGGGTACTGAGGTGGGAGGACGTTCTTTTCCCTTCCCAGACACCTACCAGGTGCTCCCGGAACCGGGACATGGGCACAGTGAGTAGTACAGTGGCCTCCTTGCCTTCGAGGAGTCACTCCCTCCTTCTCCCACCCCAGCACTCTCCCTTGGGTGCTACGGATAACACAATGCACATCTGTCTCCGTTCCCACACCCCCACATCCAATCTTCCATTGCATAGCTCCCCCTGGCCATTTTCAGGAGCCTAAAATTCTAGTAGGTAGAGAGGCCAGAATGCTGCTTCCAGTCCAGCGCTCTGTCCCTGCACCTCACTCCTCACCCCCTGTGCTAAGAAGGAAGGCTCCCTGGAGGAGGGGCACTTTGAGGAGATCTCTCAGCAGGCTGTCTGTAGCCTGCTGCTCCTGTCCTTCATCATGAGATCTCAGAGCTGGAGGGCACTGTAGAGACCACAAGCCCTGCAGTGGCCCCAAACAGGGGGCTGGGCCGCAGGCGGGGAGATGCTGGCAGTTCCTACCGGTTCAGGTCTCATCCTGGTGCCCCCGGCTGGGCCTAACTCCTCTCAGAGCAGGAATTGCTGTTTCGATGACCTGCAGCTCTGATCCCTCAGGGAAGCTCACATTCCCCACCTCTGCCTGACCCTCTCAGCTCATCTGAGGCTGGCTGCTGGAGAGAACGCACCTGGCACCGCACCAGCCCAAATGGGAACGCGAAGGGAGCCAGGTGGTGCTGGTGCCTCCCCCTGCTCCATCATCCTGATCATCTATGCTCCCTGTCCCGTGCTGGGCGGAAGGGTGCTGAACTTCCTCCTTCCTCCGCCTGCCATTCCATGCCCCGAAAGACAGGCCCTGTCCTTGCTGCCTCCGAGCTGCGAGCCCTCCAGTGTGTGCCGAATCAAGTCTAAGAATCTCATTTTTTCGAGGCTGGCTTTAGATGAGCGCGTTTTGTATGCCCCAGAGAAAGCAGTGCCCTGTTCATCTCCGCGGGGCTCTCAGAGACAGTGGGCCCGGGCAGGCTCTGAAGCCCGGAGTGGGGAAGCGCGCCCCGGGAAGGGGCCAAGAAGCGCGTGCGCTCTAGGTCCGAGATTACGGTACCCGCACTAACTTTTCCGCTCGGCTTCGTGCTCTTGGGTTTCTCCGGGCTTAGTCGTTTTCCCGGCAGCGAGTTCAGCCTGACCCCGATCTTCGGGTCTCCGCCCCGCTCCCCGACACCCGGGGCCGCCACACTGCGAGAGGCGGTTTGCAGAAAATCAATAGTATGTTTGCTGAGAAAAATATTTGACATGTCAAGTGAATTATGGAAACTTCTCATGCCAGTGGCTAAACCCAATGATTTATTTAATCACATTCATTAAGTGAACTACTTTATTATATCAGTATGTAATACTGATTTACATATGTACACATTGCCTTGGTCTTTAATTGTATCCTGGGCTATGCCTTTTCTCCAGCTCCCTGCACCTTATCTCCTCAGGTGAGATAAGCGGCCATGTGACCCCACCTGGGCGGGCGGGGGAGGGGCGCGCAGGTGAGGCCGGCCGGCGCCCAGCAGGACGCACGCGGCGGCGCGCTCGGCAGCATGTCTGTCAGCAGAAAGGACTGGTCCGCTCTGTCCAGGTGAGCGCCGCGGGCCGGAAGGGAGCCCGGCCCCGGGGCGGGGGGCGGCACAGCGCCGCCGGTTCGCCTCCCCCCTGCGCGTCGGCCTCCTCCGCGTCCTGGGACCCCGGCGCTGAGGCCGGACCTTGGTCTTGCTGCTTCTCATGGGGGACAGAGCTGAGGACGACTGGGGACCCCTTAGGTGACAGGGCACATGTTCTGGCTCCTCTGCAGTTTCCTGAGACCCCAGATGGGGGGTGGCGTTTGAGGAAGGGTACTCCGGCCAGGGAGACCCCCTAGGGTCTGACCCCACGTGGGGAGGGAAGAAGGTCTGGACGGTGAGGAAGGCGGGAGACGTTCAGGAGTTAACCCAACCCTCACTCCTCAGAGCAGCCTCTGTCACCCTTCCATGTCTGGTGGGGAGGGGTCTCAGCGCGTCTGGGCAGGGCAGGGCCACCTAGGAGAGCCAGCAGAGCCGGGATCAGCAACTCCGACCAGAGGGAACAGTCTCCCCTTCCAGGAAGGAGGCTCAGACTCTGAGTTTGGCATTTCGGGGTGGATCTGACCTGGGAGTGGTGGCTGTCCCCCTTGGTGTGCAATCTTTATTTGAGACATGGCCCCAGCGAGTCGGGGACTGGGTATTTAGCCCTCCTGATGGACCTGCCGAATCAGGGCTGCCTGGGGAGGGCAGGTGTCCTGGAAGCAGTGCCCTGGTCTCTGGTGACCCCTCTTGGTGCTGCCCAGCACCTCTCCCCAGAAGCGCTCACACGAGTCTCTTCACTGCCTCAACCCTCAGGGGCATCCCCACCGCACACGCACACGCACCCCCCCCCACACACACACACACCCAGGAGTCAGAGGCTCCGTAGTGGCTCAGAGCTGCAGTCCTGCTTCTTGGATTCTGTCGGCTCTCACCAGGTGGAACTGGCGTCTTAGCCCTCCCAGGTGGGCTGTGGGGCTGAGTCTGCAGGTGCAGAGTCGCGCCCTTAGCTGCTTGGGTACCACAGGCCTTTCCCATCCGGCCATCTTTCCCGCATTTCCCAGCACTCCGGGGGTCTCTTCCTCCCTCGGTTGCCCTCCCTGCTGGGCACCAGACCTCCATGATCTCAGACTCAGCCTCCCCATAGCTGTTCATTCCCCAGGGCTGGGGGGTAGCCTCACCACACCCGCAAGACCTCACCAAACCCAAGCACAGCTGCCCAGTGGCCCCAGCTTGGAGCAGCTCATGGGTTCTAGAGAGGGGAAGAGGTAAGCGTGCAGAGAACTCACTGCTCGAAACGGAACCCAGGCTGCTTTTTTTTTTTTTTTTTAGAGGTTTTTGCTATAGGACGCGTGTGCTTGCCAGACAGAGAGAGACAGAAAGTGAGAAATCACCCCCCGGTGGGATGGCCCCGCCGCAATCCCTTCTCCTCCGTTCTCCTCTCGGGATCTTGGGCACACACGCACACGCGCCTGGTGTGAGTTTTAAGCCACTGGGTCCAGGACACGAACCGTGGTTGACTACATGGGAGTCCGGCGACATAGGCGTTACGCCAGGCTGTTGTAGAGGTTGGACATTCCCCAAGGAGGCCCGTGCTAGGGCAGGGCCGTGGTTGAGGCCTTGGACTCTGCAGTGGGTCAGTGTGCATGGGTGTCGACGTGGGCGTGTCTTTGTCTCTGGGAGTGGGTATATCCTCCCCCTTGAATGCCCGCTTGGTTAGGCGTGTGGGCATACGTGTGGGCGAGCGGGTCGTGGCCTAGGTAGTGATGCGACGCTGTGTGGGCAGCCGGTTCTTGTGCTGCCGAGTGGAGCTTAGGAGGCCGCATAAGTTCGGTTCACACGTTTATCGAAGCCCTCAGCGCTGTGCTGCGCACTGGGTTAAAAGTACAAACCAGACATTACTTCCTCTGACGTCCACGGTCAGGTGGGATGTGTGTGATTTTGTGTCTGAGAGCATGCCTGGATATGCAGTGTGTGTGTGTGCGTGTGTGTGGTTGAGGCGGTGGGAGGGCTGGGCCACTGTAGATTTGGGAATGGGAGCTAGGTCTAGCCTGAGCTTGTCCACGGCTCAGATGGACAGTCATGTGGCTACAGGGGTGGGGCCTAGTGTCCGTGGGATGTCCCGGGTAAGTGCCAGGGAGGCCCCTGGAGTCAGGCCTGCCCCAGGAGCCCCTGGCCTGTCCTCCTTGCACAACCCCAGCCCCAGCCCTGGTAGAGCCCATGGGCAGACGCCAGATGCAGCTGCACCGGCAGTCGCCCTGCTGAGGCACCTGGAACAGAGGCCTGCTCCCTGTGTGAGCAGCAAGCCCCAGCCGGCAGGCGAGCATGGGCTGTGAGTCACTGTCAACCAGCCTTCCCGGCTGGTGCTGAGGGTGTGACTGTGTGGCCCCAGCCAGGGCCCAGGTGGGGAGGTGGGTGTAGAGTAGAGGGCCAGCCCTGTAGCCTGCAGCCCACCTGCAC